TTTATGCACGAATCGCGCTCTCGCTTGGGACCCCCTTGCAATTTATTCAGGAATCGCTCTCCCGGCGTTCTGGGGTCGCGCTCTCGCTGGAGACTTGCTTGCAACTTACTGAAGAATGGCCGTGCGTTGGCATGTCCTGCAATTTGCCCAAGCGCCGCGCTCCCGACACACAGGCACCCAAGAGTCGCGCCCGTTGTGGCCCCATGTGCATGCCCCTCGTGGCCCCGCTGCTGCCATTTGTGTCCTCCTCATTGTCCTACGTCCTACGTGGCCCAATTTCTACCCTCAGTGGCCCCATAGTTGCCTTCTGTGGTCCCGCACTATCTGCACTTCGTGCTCCCGCTCGTTCGCGCTCTTCGTGGCCCCATACGCATTCCTTTCGTGTCCCCGCTGTCGCCCTTCGTGGCCTACTTCGTGCCCTTCGTGGCCCTGCTGTCGCTCTCTCTCGCTCTCGCTTTCGCTCGTCGTCGCCGTCGTCGTCGTCGTCGCCGTCGTCTTCGACGTCGTCGTCGTCGTCGTCGTCGTCGTCGTCCCCTGTCCGTCCCTCTTGGGGTCGGGTCGACGGTCCGCGGCCGCCCCGCCGATCAGCGCTGCCGCTGGCCAGGCCGACGGTCCGCGGCCGCCCCGCCGCTTGCCGGGGCCCGGCCTGCAGGGAAGAAAGGTATACCCCCAAAAGGGGTTCGATCGAAGACGAAGAGGGCGGGTATCGAGGGTTTGGGAAATACGCGTTATTGTGTTGTTGTTGATGCTGTTGTTGTTGTTGTTGTTGTGGTTGTGGTTGTGGTTGTGGTTGTGGTTGTTGTGGTTGTGGTGTTGTGTTGTTGTTGTTGTTGTTGTTGTTTGTTGTTGTTGTTGAACATTATTTCTTCTTAAGAATAATTATTGTTGGGACCCCTGGTGCGCGACCCCCCCGCCGCGCCTAGGCCGCAGCCACATTTTCATCATTTTCGTGAGGAAGTCTCAGGCAAAACGATTGGTACCGGATCCGGTTTTTTGTTGACGCTCGTTTTCCCTTGCAAAAAACAATATAAAATGAAAATTCTTGTTCTTACTTGATCAAATTGCAAGAATCCCTTGCAAAAAATAAGGTAAAGTGGACATTCGTGCGCGCAAGACGAAATCCTTCCAAAACCTTAGGTTTCGTAGCGATTTTAACATAAAAACATCAAAAACCCAATGGTTTTTTAAGAAAAAATTGTCAAAATGTCCTTCCGCGCGCGCTGTCCGAATCCCACAAAACCAATGGTTTTTCAACATTTATGTTACATGAGCTCGCGCGAGCTACTTTTTCTTGTTCTAACATAATCAAATTTCAATAATCCCTTGCAAAAAATAAGGTAAAGTGGACATTCGCGCGCGCAAGACGAAATCCTTCCAGAACCTTAGGTTTCGTAACGATTTCAACATAAAAACATCAAAAACCCAATGGTTTTTCAAAAAAAAATGTCCAAATTTCATCCCGCGCGCGCTGTCCGACTCCCACAAAACCAATGGTTTTTCAACATTTATGTTACATGAGCTCGCGCGAGCTACTTTTTCTTGTTCTAACATAATCAAATTTCAATACTCCCTTGCAAAAAAAAGTAAAGTGGACATTCGCGCGCGCAAGACCAACAAAAAACACGACGATCTCAGGAACTTGCCCCAAAAATGTGACCAACTCCGCTCTCTCTGTCTCTCTCTCTGTCTGCTCTCTGTCTCTCTCTCTGTCTGTCTGTGTCATGTATTGTATGTCACAATTGCAGGATGCTGGGCACACGCGCGCCCCGAATAAGTGACCAAGTTCTGTGGGTGTGTACCCCACGCCAGTGTAGTAGCCACGGTCGTCCGCACGCCACGAAGTGAAGTGTCCCAACGTCATAGGGCGGGAAGCTGGGTTTGGGTGGTCGCGAAGAGTCGTTTGGATATTTGGTAGAGCTTGAACTGCCCCCCCACGAAGTGGGGGTATTGTCTCGCGTCGCATGAAAACCCTGGCACTGGTGAGAACACTGAGCGTTCGGGTAAAATGATTGTTGTTGTTGTTGTTGTTGTTTGTTGTCGTCGTCCCGCCCGCGACCCGCGCCGCGACCCACCCGCGACCCACCCGCTCCGCGCTGTCGCGCGCTGCCGTCGCCCAACAGACTGCGCCCCTGGCGGGCCGAATGGGGGAGTCGGCGACAACGCTGCACGCGTTGGCGGGGGAGACGGGGGTCAAGAGTTTTGCACCCCTTCTGCCCTTCAGCACTGGGGCGGTGGTGACACAGTACACGTAGCATGCCGCACAGGATTCTTGTAGGTATCGCGTCCTCGTGCTTCGCTCGATGTTCTCACTGGGTGTCAAATCGTCGGCGGTTCTTCCGTGTCCACTCGCATGATGTTCCCCGCCGCATGCAGTGCAGTGGCGGGGAACATCACGCGCGGCTTCCAAAGGAAGCGCGCCAAGATCGTTGCGCTTGGGGGCGCTGCAGACACGAGGGGCTAGGTCGACATCCGCGCTGTCGCGCGTTGCCGTCGCCCAACAAACTGCGCCCTGGCGGGCCGAATGGGGGAGTCGGCGACAACGCTGCACGCGTTGGCGGGGGAGGCGGGGGTCAAAACCCCACTTGAGCCGGCCGAAAGATTTTCCTCTTGAGTCCCACATGACAAATGCGAAGTTTCGCCCGCCCCCGGTTTGTGTTTCCCTACTCGTCCCCGTGTGTTGTGTCTCTCGGTAGCGAAACCCCTCCCCCGTAGAATCATAGCTTGGGCTGCAGGTCCTAGGCTCCGTGGATCCATTTCCCCTTGGACCCCTCGTACTTATTTTCGTAAATTTACCCCAACAAAAGAATTGGATCCACGAAACTTCCACGTCAAAAAAATTGATCCGGAAGACACGGAAATTGGATCCACGTGACTCTCGCACACGCATAAGTGGATCCAAATGGATCCATGCGTTCCCATGCAAGAGGAAAAAACACCGTCGGCCTGGGGATGTATGGTTCTGCTGGCACTGTCGGGAGACCTCAACAGAACTATGCTGCTTAAGTGTGCTGAGCTGTCACCGTGGTGGGGGTTGATGCAGACGTGTGGATATATTCCAAATCATTCGAAATCATCTGAATTGAACTCAATATTGGAACACCTTTAGGGTAAACTGTTGTACCACATGTGGTATAACCCCATTCGGTTCTAGTGAGATGGTCCATCCCCGTTCGGTTAGAGGGACACTGGAAAGAAAATGACGGACAACTATGAATCAATAACACCCACAGGCTGCTTACGGGCCGCAGGTCAATGAATGATACAGTGCGGGCGCGGCCGCAAGAAACTCTCGCAAGAAACCCAACCCTGAAAACCCGCGAGCGAAGTGCATAGGAGGGGAAACCTGGAGCACTCTGAACGCACCAGCTCCTTCAACGGCCGCGGGAAGTCGCCGCGCCGTGCGCGGAGCGAAGAAATCCAGGGTATCCTGACGAAAGGCAGATGGTTTCTTGGTGCGCGCCCCCACTGTAATCAATTCGACGAGGATCGCTTGCATCATGCGACTTGGTGGCCATGTGCCTCTAGTTCCAGCTTGTGTGCAAATGAACACGTGGCCCAGGCTCTGATGCTAAAGCTGCTTGTGTTGCACAGGCAGTCCCCAAATGCAGTCCTGGCTAGCCTCAGCAGCCCGCCCGGCGCCCAAATAGTCACAGCTAGTGTCAACAGGACACCGAAAAGTCTGGGTCGGTCCAAAAACCCTAGCACCGCCGCTGGCGCTCCGCGCCCCAGGGTTGAGCTGCTGAGACAGCCCCGGACTACTCGGGGAGCCTGTCGAAGACAGCTGGGACTACTCGAGGGGGCTGTCGAGGCCAGCCGGGAGTATCTTCGGGGGCTCTGACCAACTCGAGCATGATGGACGTGCATAGCGAGGGGCAGCGAGACGACGGCACGACGCGGATACTGTCGCCAACGGACGGCGCGGTGATTATACACAGGGCGAGGGGCTGCCCGCGTGGGCGAGAAATGGCGGCAAGCGCGCTTGGAAAAGCCGACTTTGAGATAACGGCATCACAATGTACTATCGGAGTTCCGCGCGAGTTTTTGTTGGATCGGCGATGGGACACCCCCCTCCCTGGAGCGCGGAGCGCGTCAGGGGCGGCGCCAGAATCGCCGCCAGGGCGGGCGGGCCCAGCGCCGATCCAAAAAATTCGCGCAGAACTCAGACAATTTATGCTGTATGCAGTCGATCTTCGGCTGCTACGACGTACAAAGCCGACAAACTTGTTTCAAGTTCAGGCTCGGCAAAGGCAGCAACTGCCAGACAGCTGCAACACGAAAAAATGGAGGTGGTATGTGCTGGGCGACAGCTGCGAGAACGACCGCGACACGCCGCCTCCGCCAAGTCGTACAAAGCTGGGCCAATCACAGGATCCGAACGCGAATGCGCCCCTCATCCATGGTGCATCTCCGGGGGACCTTGCCTGTCCCGTCGCGCCGCCATCCGCGTCGAATCCGTGCCAAACTCGTCGAATCACCGTCGATCCCACGCCGAATCCGCGTCGCTTGCACGCCGAACCCATGTCTGGCACAGGAAAAAATCGCCAGACAGGCAAGGCCACACGAATTTGCACAAGAACCTCGTGCACTCACGGAAAGGTCCAGTAAGATTAAAGGCAAGACAAACATAAATCAGGGCAAGATCTCCACGACCTGACGGGTCCAGCGGATGCATCGGGCGCCGCGGCCGTAAAAACGCGCCCTAACGCCCCGGAGCGATGCATGCTTGTCCTATGCCTGTCCGAAGACGCTTGGTGGGCAGAGACGGGGACTCTGAACTTCCAGATGTCTCCCTAGAATGCTGATTTCCTCTCAGCGTGCTGCAGAAAGTTGAGTGCATCACTTCCCCAAGCGTCTGTGCAAAACCGACAGGTGTCGCCTGATCTTCTTCATTACTCCACCCTGTCTCAGCTGTGCCCATAGAGGTCGCACTCGCGCCGATCCCAACTGCGACCCAGCCCGCGGCCTCTACTGGCCGGTGGCGGTGTGCTGCCACTCTCGAATCATCTCGTGCTATGACACGCAAACGAATTATTCCCACAAGTTGCTCTCAGGAACTCCTGACGGCAGAGAAACAACGAAGAGAAACAATCGACAGTGGGTCACAGTTCCGCTACAGGCTCAATACCCGCTGCATGTCTGAGGTCACAGTGTAAGACCGTAGCTTGCGTTATAACCAAGGCAGTGTAGCTCACTCACATATTCAGCCTGCAGGAGTGCCCACGCCAAATAGACTTTATTTGAGCATGCTGAGCGCAAAACAAATGTGCACATGCACGTATGAACTAGCCATACACACTGGTACTACACTGGTACAACCTTCAGAAGGTAACATCCCCGAACATCGCCAGCAGTAAATTGAAGCATTGGACTGTGTAGTGTGCGCGACCGCATGCATACATGTAGCACGTCCACGTCGTACACATGCATCTTGAATCTACATTTACACACATGCATCGAGATGTGTATCTGGACGGAGCGAACAAGAGAACGAGCGAGGGAAAGAGAGAGAGAGGGAGCGATATATATATATATATATACATATATAAAGAGATATGGTCGCGCATGCGAATCAACGAGACACGTGCAGACCTATGCCACTCCGCATCATTCGGGAAAGCGTTCGCGGTGTGCTTGGGAATGCGGCACACACAGGCCTGATACACCTGCCAACGATAATAACTGCGATCGATGAGGCAAGTCGACGAGTCGCGAACGCCACGTGCGCTGCCGCCAATGGCGGTGCCACATTCGCTTGCCATGGCATCCGCACGCCTGCCTCGAAAGCAACGGGTTCGTTCCGACGCCGCCGACCAAAAATGTTAGCGCCGACGTATGCTCAACCACCAGAGCCTTCCAGCACGACGCAGGTGATGACACCGAGGACTGACACAGGCTGCATGCGATCCGTGCAACTGAGCGGGGTGGCGCACACACACACACACACACACACACACACACACACACACACACACACACACACACACACACACACACACACACATACACACACATACACACACGCACGCACGCACGCACGCACGCACACAAACACACAGACTGGGCTCCTGAGGATCATCGGCCCCCCCCCGAACCTCCGACGGCTCGATTGCTTGTTCGAGTTGCCCGCCCTGGAATCTCCGACCCCCGCCCGTGGACCCGCTTCTCATGCAAAGACGATTTCCTCGACGGTCCTGACACGCCCAGACATACACCCGATGCCGGGCAGCACAAGACCCTGCGCGCACTGCATTGGACGAGCTAGATCATGAAATCGGTGCGCAGAAGCTCGTCTCAAGACTTCTCGTGAGCTCGCCTATGACTAGATTGGGAATCCAGCCCCCCGCCACCCGCCACGGGGGCCATAACCAGCAACCCCCAAAAATCGAACGGAACACATGCGGGTCCTGAGGGAACCGGGTTCTGGACATCGGGGCCCTTCCCCAAGATCAACCTTTCGACTTGCGGTAATTTCTTACAGGTCTGGGGCAGATGGACGGCCACGGGAAGCCCAAAAATGTGACAACCCTCAAGAACGATTGCCGTCAGGACAAGGCAAGGCAAGGCGCGCCTGAGTCCGCTGGGGGGGCGGGGCCTGGAAGGCCGGCGCGGGCGGGCCGGGGCCCTCAGCTGTAGATGTGGAATTTGTGGTCAGTGCTGCGTGTGTGGCGTAGGAACGCTTGTTCCAAATTGCTCAATTGAGTGCTGTCCTGTGCGTGTAGATCATCGTTCGCTTCCAGGTTGGAGAAACATGCTTGCTGTCAGAATTTGTGTGGTATCGTCCCCCCACCTCTTCCTCTGACCCCCGTGTCTGCGGACTGCTTGCTGGAAGTCGTGGATGTTCGGCTCCCACGTCGCCCCAAGTCGGGCCCATCGGAATCGGAGGCAGAGTCGGAGCCGGAGTCGGAGAGATAGGATCTGCACTCGGAACCGGAGTCGGGAAGATGGGACGGCCGCTGGAGTCGGAAAAGTGGGAACTGGAATCGGTGCTGGAGTCGGAAAGGTGGACGCCGAAACAGTGTCGGAGAGATGGGGCGGGAACTGGAGACGAAACCAGCATCGGAGATAGGGGAGCCCCTGGGTTCTAATCAGACGGTTTTAGTGGAGCATCTTTGGGGAATGGGGAGATATTCTTCCATGTGATTGAGAAAGCCGTCCTCCAAACCGTTCCACAATTGTGCATGTGATGCCTGATCTACCCGTTGGATGTCGCATTGGTATTCTGTAGCACTCTTGATAAACGGCACTATATGATCGTCCCAAATATTTCGCTGACCGCCGCGTCGTCGTTTTGCTCGTCGTGCGTCGTGCGCGCTCGGACCCCGAAGTATACAACGCCTCGTCCATTTTATCGGCGCAGTGTCCTGCATTGCGGGCTGCGTAGTACCACTTCCTTTTGAAACATATGTGCGTCCATTCTTTCACGTGCATGAGCTCCGCGATAGCTATGGTATCGCAGGTACTCCTGCGTATGAAGTCCGCCCAGGGCTCTAGGCCATCGTTGTTGGCATCGTCGTCTCTGCTGCGTGGACCAGGGTCGTGCTGGTTGTCGGCGTCGGCGACTATAATGTCGGCGTTGGGCGTTGCGTTACCGTTTTCCTGCCAGGCTCGTCTTCCTAGCACGCCCACGATCAGGCGAATCATCTTCCGCTGTGCCCTCCGCAGCGTGAGGAGCACGTCCATGGTGAAGGTCCACGAACAACAACCGTACACAACGCAAGGCGTGATTGTGCCGCTGAGAAGTCGTAGTCTGCTACGAAATGGAAACCGTTTGCTCGTGAGTTCGCTCCGTAACTGGTTGAACTTAGCCCATCTTGCGGCGATCCTGTTTGATAGTTCGTGCTCGATGAAGTTGTGACACGACAATGTTATGCCTAGGTATTGTTTGCTCTGGCTGTGGCGCAAGATGCCGATGCGTGCGTCGTCCAACATGATGTGCGTTATTGTTCTTCCTATTATCCGGCTGATGTTTGTAAGGATATTGGTTTTGTCGGGGCGGAGAGACAATCCGCAGCGCGATGCCTGGCTTTTGAAGTCTCGTAACGTACAGGTAAGTTGTCGTGGTTCGTGGCGTACAGCAAGACGTCGTCCGCGAAGCGTAGGTTGGTGATGCGAGTACCACGCGCGAAGCCAAGTTTGATGCCAAATCAATTTCGATGCCGAAGTGTCTTGAGTGGCCAGAACATGTGTTCTAACAGCGCGTTGAACAAGAATGAGCTGAACGGATCTCGCTGTGTCAATCCACGCTGTATGTCGAAATATCGAGCTGTCCAACGACCACCACATGGAGAACCTCACAGCAGGCCAGAAATTACGTGATCTAATCGTCCAACGACGTAACACACCACACAATAACACAACCAAACGAACCAAGTTGAACCAGCTTATTCTGAGACAACTTCGTACCATCAAGCGGGCCCGCGACAATGCAACATTAGATGTCATTACTTGCCAACTCCGAGGCCTCAAGAACATCGCTGGTGTCTTCGCGATTCACATGATTCCATCAATGACTACCCCAACAGGCGACAAGGAAACTGACAGGACACGCATCGCCGACGTCTTCGTGACTTTCTACGAGCAACTCTAGCAGAAACAAGAGAACGACAGCGAGGAGAACAGCACCGCCATAACGTCAACTGAACCCAACATCCCATCATTCACGATGGAAGAACTACGGAGGGCCATAAAGCAGTTGAAGAATGGCAAGTGCAGCGGCACCGATGGCCTCACAGTAGAGCTGCTCAAAACAGGGGGCGCCACCATTGAGGATCACTTGCTGCACCCCTACAACGACACCATCACTCCCTCCCGACCAATGGAAAAGCACGACGATCACACTTATATACAAGTCTGGCAACCCCAAGTTACCGCACAACTACAAACCAATCGCAATCATCCCGCTATTGTACAAGCTCATGTCTCGACTCATATGCAACCGGCTTGAGTTCACGATCAACGCACAACAACGCCCCGACCAAGCTGGCTTCAGACGTGGCGACGGCACCGAAGACCACCTTTTCACCACGACAATGCTGCACGAGCAGTCAGATCGTTGGCAGCTACCACTCTGGGCAGCCGCCATCGACTTTGAAAAAAGCGCTTGACTGCGTGAGCCACAGCAAACTCTGGGAAACTCTACGACAACAAAACATACCTGATGCATATATCGCTTTCTTGCAACATATGTACAGCAACCAGACAGCCACGGTCAGGACAGACACGAACTGCCGTCAGGACCTTCTTAATCAATAGTGTTAGGTCTGGGAGGACAAATGAAAATTAGATAATTTTCCCCCAAAAGAAATCAAACATATTTTTTGTATCTAAGCAAAGTTCCCTGACTATGTTTCAACTATTTTGAATATTCCCCCTGTAGAGGGACACGCCCGACTGAACAATAGCGAGCACTGTTGCTTCAACACGAGGCCCCCAGAAGCCCCAGCCACTTCCCCTGTGGAGTTCATCCTCTTCTGACGTTGGCCCCGGGACAGGGCGAGGGCCCGAGCGGGGGCCGAACACAGCGAACATGAGCATCGCTTAACCGACCTCCCATCCCCAGCGGCGTGGCCTGGGCCCCACTGGTCGATTTACCCCGCTGATGGGGATATAGGTCGTTCCCTTCGGGTTTCGAAGGGTGTATCCCCAACTGGGGGGGGTGATTTGGTGGGGGTCTCGAAGGGGATGGGGATGGGGATTGGTTAAACGATACCGAGAACAACAACCAGACTTGATTTTACCTGTTTTCAATGCGCTGGATGTCTAGGGACCCGCAGCACGCAAGAAATCGACGACACCATCGCCACAGCGCCAGAGGGCGCCGGCTCCTGAAGGCGGGGGGGACCTCTGAGAGGGCAGAGTGGCTTCTCAGAAGCCCTCCTGGCTTCCAAAGGGCCTTCTTGAAGTCCCTGGGCCCTCCGGAATCCCCCCAACCTTCTTCCCCGACGTCCAACGATTTGTCCTTTTCATTTCGTGCCAACGCCCTCTGGCACCTTTTTCGGGGAGACATTGTTTAATCCGAGATCCACGTTTGATGCCCTATGTCCTGATAACCGTCTCCAGATGCGAGAATCTTGGAAGAACGCTCGAACTGAAAAAAGATCATGCCGGTGTCTGGGCGCCAAAAGCCCCCAAGACGCAAGAGAGGCCCAAGAGAGCCCCAATACGGCCCCAAGAGCGCCCAAGAGTGTCCCAAGACCGCTCCAAGCGGGGCCTTTCCTCTATGTGCTGACCACTTCCCTGATGGATATAACTCATCGGGGCATCGTCTATGGATGGGCTGGTGGAGTTACGCGAAGCGTCTAGAATTGAACAACGATCCTGCGGGTGTCTGGGCTTTCGAGCCATTACTCGGGTCTCCCTCTGGCGGCCACTTGGGACAATCAGGGCAACCCTGGAACGCTCTCGGCGAGGCGCACATGCTGGCAAGCAACCCTGGGCGAGAAAACGCAAAGAACATACGAAAGCCTCAGAACCCATATTCAAAACACGACTTGGTTTCCACACCCGACGCCTCAGACAGCACCGACTTGCACGGCCCGAACAGCAGCATGTGCTGAGCAGCACATCGCTTCCCCTGACATCCTCGCGCCGCGAAAAAATCACGACGGAAACTGTTCGGCAATTTTCGGCCCCTGGGGGGCCCCCACCAAACAACAACCGTCAACAAAACGGCACATGACAGAACGCCCGTCCTCAGGAAGGGATCCAGACCTCTAGGAAACCACGTTGTGAAAAAAAGCGCAACGGATGTCTGGGACCGACAGTCTCACCGAAATTGATCGAAACCGACAGGCCACAAGCAGGCTAAAGTGCACGGCGACGCAGCAACGACCCAGCATTCGTCCCGAGCCGGCGGAAAACATCCGACTGAGACGCAGCCGACTGCGACGCAGCCGAGCTGACCGAACTATGCAGGCAAGGCTTGTATCCGTATCCACGGCGTCTTGGATATTCGGACAAGTGATGTCAAACGCCAGAGAGGCGGTGGACACGAATAAGCGTCTGACCTCTCCGAAACACAAAAAGAAATGTTTATCACGATCCGCTGCGTCTCGGGGGGTCCGGGGAAGAGAGCCCGAAACTCGGAGACCAAATGGATACAACTACAAATCTTACCCGCACGACAAGGACACCGTGCAGCTGACCTCGTCGGCTGCCAGAGGTGACCCTGGCCCGCAGTGCCGATCCATGGATTTGGCGCGCGGCTCCCCAAAATGCGGTGCCGCCTCGCTCGGCGGCGGAAATCTGTGATTTTCCATGGACACGGGACCCGTCTCTAATCCACGCCCCCTTGATCCATGTTTGCGGTCGACTGAAGAAGGCTTCTTCAGAGCCAGGCGGGCTCCTGGGAAGCCCCCTGCGCCAACCCCTGCGGGCGCTAAGCGCCGCCAAGCACGGCTGCAGGAGAAGTCACGACGGCGGATATGCGCCGCGCGGGGGGGCAGCTCAGACATCCGCCGATGTGTCGTTTCAATCCGCGTCCTCGAAAAGGTCCGACCACTTCCCCAAAAAAGCTTGACACCCTGGACTCGTTTTTGCTGATCCCGGGACCCGATAACGGGCCCCTGATTCCGAAATTAATGGAACCGATCCTCGGAGATCTGGGGAGCCACGCCGTGAAAAACAAGGTCACCACGTCGGATGTCCGCCTCGCGCGGAGGCACCGGCGGAAGACAAGATCTCCTGCATGGGGTCCGAGCGGATGGGGTCGGAGGCTCGCGCCACACCGCCGATGCATCGCCGACGTCGGCGATGCATCGGCGCCGTCCGTGGAAAGAACGTCGGGCTCCGTCGGCGTGGAAAAGATCGGGCTCCACAGCGAGCCGCATCGCCGATGCCAACGCATCGGCGATGCGGCGCGATCCTCGGGCCCCATGCGGCAGGCCTGGAGCCCCGCGGGGAGGCCGCGGCAGGAGGGTCGGCGGCTCCGGACTGCCGCGCGTGCTCGGGCGCCCCTCGCTGTCCGCGCGGTCGGGCGCGTGCTCCTGGGGGGCCCGGGGGGCGCCCCTCCTCCATCGGCTCCTCCGCCCCAGGCTGCCCTTGGGGGGCGGCGGCAGTCGGGGACTCGACCCAGGGAAGGGGGGGGGGCGGCACCGACCCGAGTGACGAGCAGAAACGGGTCTTGCGTGGCGAGAAGGCATAGCGACCTCACGCCGCGGCCTGCGCGGGCCGCCAGCGCAGCACGCCACATGGGAGACGAGGGCGCCCACGCGCGCCCGTGCACGGGAAACTTACGAGAGAATGTCGGCGCAAGGCAACGCCGTTTCCCTTCGTCGCTGAGGTGGGGGCCGACTCGGAGGGAGGAAACATCGACCCGGAATCTGCGATGCATCGCCGATAGATCGGCGATAGGCCCCCGATGTCAAATCCGCAACTTCCTGGGCGGGGCGCGGCTATCGCTGGGCCCAGGGACCGTCAAAAAGACGACTCCGGATGAAGAGCCAATTCCAGGGAAGGGGTCGAGACTTCTGGGGACTCCTGACTGAAAAATGGAGACATCGGATGTCTGGGTGGCTCCTCATCCTCCTCCCTTCTTCCAGGGGGGACGACGACGCTCTCCCCTCCCCCCCTTGTCGTTTGACCCTCTCCCAAAATCAGCCTCTCCGTCGTCGTCATCCTCCTCCTCCTCCTCATGCTCAAACTCCTGTGCTCTGCTCCTTCTGCTCCGTGTCCTGTTCCTGCTCCGCCTCCTCCTCTTGCTCCTCATCCTCTTCCTCCACCTCCTTCCCGCAAATCATCTTCACCCTCCTCACTCCACCCGTTCCCCTCCTCCCGTCCCCCTCGTCTCCTCTCCCATACCTATCCTTCCCCAACTCCTCCTCCTCCTGCTCCTCCTTCTCTACCTCCTCATCCTCCTCTTCTACCGCCTTCCTCCACGGTACTAATTGCCTGGTGACACAGATGGCGCAACTTGTAGCAAGCACAAGAAGATCCCAATCGTCGCCAAACGGCAAGGAGTCGACTGCCACTCTTTGCAATTACAATAAAGATGTTATTGTCGACGTTTCTCCTGATGTTGTGCAGTGCTGGCGCCGTCTCATTCTCTCTCATTATCATGGTTTGTCTCTCTCTCTCTCTCTCTTTCCCCTCCTCATTCTTTGTTATTCCTTACATTGAATTCCCTTCCCTCGTCCCTCCTTCCTTCCTCCCCATATCCTCCGTTTCCCTCACGGTCTCAGAAACAGGTCTTGCTATGTGCTCATCGATCGGAGCAAGTTCGGTCCTTCAAAAATGGTGCTCCCGCTACAGCGTTTGCCACGTGTTTAGGATCGGTGTGTTGACCTGGTCGTTCAGAATGGAGTTCTCTCCTCAGCGCGGGCCACATTCCTGGGTACAACTCTATCTGCCGACCCTCTGATTTCTCCTCCTGATCATCGTACGTTTCCTGCTGCTGATCCTCCTCCCTCTCTTCCTCCTTCCCTCTTTCTTCCAAATCCCTGCTCCCAGTCGCACGACCAGACGTGTGACTAATTAGGGCGGGCCAGGCGTTCTACTCGAGACGTCCTCGCAAATCATATATGTCGAAGCATGGTTTCTTCAACACGTAGACGACTGAAACACGCATCATTAAAAAAATGGGGACCTCTCATTGGCGCCGCGCGCACCCATTGACAGCATCAGCAATGGCACGGATGGAGCTAACTCGCCCTGGCGCCACGCACACTCGACTGACATCTTCCCAACAACTACAAGGACGGAGGGGGTGGTTTTCAAAATGGAACCATCCCCTTAGCGCCGTGCAAATTCGTCGTTGCATCTTGCGGCAGTTACAAGGGTGGAGGGTGTTTCGCTTTCGACTTGGGCGAGCACAGACGAAGGAGCTACACAGATGGCGGGCGGCTCCTCACACAAACAAAACACTGGCTCTCGATGGGGGATTTCCGCAAGCATTCTGGCCAGAACTTCGCCGACATTGTGCAACGCTTACACGGCTGGAACCAAACCCTCTGCCAAAGCGGAGCAATCACCGAAGAAACTCATCAAATGTATGACCCTTTGAGTTCTCGAAGCTGGAGGGAGGCCTCGCATGAATGACAGGCCCACAGGGGCGTTCATTTGTTCAAGGTGTAACGCCCCTCGCAGAGGAACGAAAAAACAATGAGGCGACTCAGGACGGGAAGGCGTGTTGTAGCATCGTTGCTACATCTTGGTGTTATTCGGGTCCTCCCCTCCTCTCTTCCTCCCTCCTCCTTCCTCGGAATCCTCTCCTGTCTCCTGCTTATCCGCCAAATCCTCCACCTCCCCCTGCAATGCGCAAAGCGCCCCCTGTCTGGTTGCGCATCTCGCGATGAGGTCATGTTGGGGATCAAGGTCCTCTAGGACATCCCAGATAAAAAATCAGTCAGCGCGACGGGAAGGGATGGGTAGGAGGGGTAGGACGTCAAATATGGAGAGATCCCACCCAGCTTGTCTTCCCCCTCCCTCCCCCTTTCCTCATCCCCCTCGCCATCCCCCTCCTCCGCCCTCCCGCTCCCTGCCTTGGAAAACACTCCCCCAGGAACCGAGTGCTTAGATTTCTCATCAGGTGCTGAAGGAATCGTATGATCACACAGCGACAGCCAGACTTATGGTTAAGACTGGGACGGGGCCCGATGCTCGCCCCGGCACTCGGAGGCCGAGAGCCGCCGCCGCGAGACAAAGGGGATGCCTCTCCTGGCTTTCGGGGGTCCTGCCTCAGCACTCCGACGGCCGCTCGAGACGACCTGGGTACCCCCCGGGAAGCAGCCCGAGGCTGGAAGCGCAGCTGCTGGGAAGCAGCCTCGACTACACGCAAGAGTGACCCTGTGTAAGATTGACCTTTGGTGCGCGGCTTTTTGGGGGCCGCGCGGGAAGACCAAAAACGAGCGCGCGAGACGCAACTGCTGCATCGCGTTCGGCGATCGGGGGGCCCCATGGGGCCCGCACCAAAGGTCACTCCGGCGAGAGGTCACACTTACGTGTAGTCGACAACCCGAGGCTGGAAGCCCAGCCTCAGGAACCGGCGAAACTGCGCGCAGACCTCGAGCCTCGACCCGGCCCCCTCCGAGGCTCGCCCGGGCCCGGCCCTCGCGGGGCCCTCCCGGGCGGGTGGGGCAGCTCGGGCGAGGAGCGGTGCATACGCCCCCTGGTTCGGCCAGGCAGGCATCCGCACAGAGGGCTCCTGGATGGGGTCGGAACAGACGGGGTCGGGGGATCGCGCCGCATCGCCGATGCATCGCCGATGCATCGTCGACGTGGGCGATGCATCGGCGACGTCGACGTGAAGCAAATCGGGCTCCACATCGAGCCGCGTCGGCGATTCGGCATTGCATCGGCGATGTGGCGCGATCCTCCGACCCTATCTGCTCCGACCCCATCGAGGAGGCCGAGAATGCACCGCTCCTGTCGGCGGCGAGCTAGGGGGGGAAGTGAGAAGGAGATGGCCTTCTCAGAAAGCTCGGAAGTCCCCCGGTCCTCTGAGAAGTCTTCTATGCCTTCCCCAAAGACACAAACAAACTTATCATAAGGCGCGAGGGTTTCTGAGAAGTGCCGCCGCCATCTGAGAAGGCCTCTTCCTTCTCACTCCCCCCCCTCGCTCGCCGCCGATCCTGGGCCCAGGATTGGCCTGGCCAGCGGCGGTGATGTGTCTGACCTCGTCGCCCTCGGGTGGCGCAGGTCCTGGCCGCCCCTCGGGCTGCTGGCCGCGGCGTCCCGCTCTGAGCTCCTGCCCACCGCCGCGCCTGGCGGCGCGCAGCGCGCTCGTCGGCGTCCCCTCGCGTCGCGAGGAGGGGGATGTTGTGGAGGCAAGGAGGAGGCTTCTGGCTTCTAGGCTTCGAGCTTCTAGGTTGGCTTCTGGGAGGAGGCTTCTGGCTTTTGGCTTCTGGCCTCCAGCTTGACTCCTGGCTCCAGGAGGGGGATGAGGAGGAGGATTCTGGCTTCGAGGCTGGCCTCGCGCGCGCCCGCGCAGGGGCGCGAGGTCCAGGCAGAGGAAAAGACAAGCAGCCAGACGCGACCGGCGACGGCGACGGCGGCTACACGGCAGCAGCCGCTCGCGCGGGGCGGGTGCGGGAAGGCGTTTTCGGCGCGCCGCATTCTCTCTCGCGCCGGACCAGGGCAGAGAGGTGCTATCGAGGAATAGAAGGCGGAGGCTGCCCCAGAAAGCTCCAGAACGCCTGTGCAAATGATCCTGGGTCCCGACCCCGCACGATTTTGGCCTCTGGTGGCCCGCACTGAGCCCAACGGTCCAAAAACGGCTCGTGATGAAAACCCGTTTTCGGGGAATGGGGTGTGGACATATGGGAGGGGCGTACACCTTTGGACACTTTGTTAAGTGCCACGAGGGAAAGACGACATAAGATCGACCTTCGGAGGCCTGCGCGGATTTGAATGAATCTGCGCTGGAATCATTCATTGGCGCGCGGAACGCGCCAGGTGCGGCGCCAGAGGCGCCGACAGGGGGCTCTAAAGCCAATCCAAAAAATCCGCGCGGACCTCCGACACATGATGTTTGAGCAGCGCCTGGTTTCTCGAGACGAGGCCAACATGTCTTACGACTTTTGTATAGGGGCCCTGGGACCCATAAACAAATTGACACAAGTACCACGATATTACATATTTCCTTGTATGTTCCGGGTTTTCGTTTTCCCCCCCGATGGCCGTAGTTTCCCACAATTCCCAAGGAACTGCCAACTGATGGTGCCAGTGTGTTTTTTCCCCTCCGGATTTTGCCTTCATTGAGCACCGTCTTGCCGGATCGCGCGAAACGTCGGGCCAACTCTCCTGGTCACCCCTGCGGGCAAACTCGAACTAGGGTCATTCTTGACCAAGAAATGAAATCGGGCACGTCCTCCTACAAACGGAGTCCCAATGACAAATTCTCACGATAGCCAGCAACAAAAAATTAAAACATTGCCTGGCGAAGGACCCAACCATATGCAGTTGTGAATACTACAAGTGTGAATATTTGTTCGGTGGAGCTCCCTACGCGACACAAGCGAATACGATTGGTCTAAGCACGAGAGACCGAGCGCGGGTGAGTGCGAGCGCGAATGAACCTGCTTGTGGATGAATTTGCGTGTGAGTGAATTTTTTTGCATGAGTGCGAAACTGGGCACGCCTAGCGTAAATGTATATGACTGTGAATGGTGTGGGTCTCCCTGACTCTGAGAACTCGCGACACCGAGCACGGCCGCCGCAGGGGGCTTCCCTGGGAATCCCGACGGCAGCCCCCCCGCGCCGCGACGCCCATGTCGGCGCGCCCCTTATGAGGACTTGTCCTCACTCTTTGCCCGCGCGCTCCAATGTGCCAGGCTGCGGGCGCAGCGCAGCGCGGCGCCCTCGCCGCGCGCGCAGGTCGCCCCGACGGGGTCCGAGCGACGCGCGCGAGTGGTCCGCTGCACGGAGCAAAAAAAGCTCGCTTGCTGGCTGAGCGCGGGCAAGACTCCAGCCGCTGGGCAGAGCGACGACGGGTGAGCGAGGCGCCAGGCAGAACGCGGCGCGAAGTTCCCGCGGCGCGCGCCGGTCGCCCCGGAAGGGCCCCAGCGACGCGCGCGGTCGTCCGCGGCGCGAGGCCAAATAACCCATTGGACAGTCGAGAGAAGGCGCGGTTCGGGCGGGGCGCCCATAGGTCAGGTCACGCGGACAAGCTGGATGAAGCCGAGCTCCCTGGCGAGGGCCGCGGCCTCGCTCCTCCACCGCTTCGCGCGCGCCGCATGCTGCAAAACTGCCCCAGCTGCTTCCGCCGACCCCCCGGCGGCCCTGCCAGGGAGAACTCGATGCGCGGCGCCCGCGCGGGCAGGAGGTCCTCGTGGCGCGCGGCGCGCGACAGCAGCGCGCGGAGTTCCAGCCGCCAGTCGTCGGCTTTATTACTGCCGTTCCCGATCTCGTGGCGGCCGCAATCCAAGACCACGCCAGGGCGACGTCGGCCGAGGGGGCATTGCGCCGGACAGCCGACGGCCCGGGGCGAGAGTCGCAGGGCCGAGAGATGGTCTGGCTGTGGACGGCTCGCGCTGTAGACTGCCCGGGGGCGCCGTTCCGTCGCCGCGTCGCCATCTCGCCCGGCGCGCCCCTGGCGCGCCGCCGCGGCGATGGCCCTGCCGCGCGAGCGCGGGGGGCCCGCCTGGGTGGCCCTGGAGGCGCGGAAGGCAAACGGCTCTGATGCGCGGGGCTCGATGAACACCCGCAGCCCGCGACCCCCGCGAAGCTGTCGTCTTGACACATCAGGTCGCCCGCGAATGGCGCGCCCGCGAACTTCTCCAAGGGCGCCCAGAACCCCAGCGGCAAGCGCTCCAGATAAATCCTCTTCCCCCGTCTCTCTGGGCTTTCTCGACGTCGCCCCGATCCCGCGGGCCCGCGGCGACGCGCGCGATCTGCCCCTCGGCATCCTTGGCGAGGCTGGGCTCGAGGTGGAGCGCCTCCAGGAGCTGGATCCGCGTGCCCGCTTGCGCTGGGGCAAGTCCGTGCACGCCGCCGGTGTTCGAGCTGGCACAATTCATCATCTTGGCGGCGTCCTTGACATTCATCGCCGGGCCAGACCTGTCGGCACCCTGCACGAGGGCGCGGGGCTTTTTCAGGGCGCCCGCGCCCCGCGAGGCACGCGCGTTCATCCGCCGCGCCACGGTGCCACAATAAGGCCAGGCCCGATCGCGCGGCCGTTCTGGAACTTCTCCTCCCGGAGCCGACGATCATCGGGTTTCAGCTGCGCGGCGTTCCAAATGGCCCAGGTGGCAGGAGGGGCCTGCTTCCCCAGCTTGCGCAGGAACGCCATGAGATCCTTGAGCTTCGCGCCCCTGAAGCGGTTGGGCGCCTGGAGCTCGAAGCACGGCGGCGCGTTGCAGAAGAGCTTCATCGAGGCCTGGCACTCTGGAGCGAGGTTGACGCCCGCCGCCCCCAGTCCCTCGAAGCTGGAGATGAGGGCCACTTTGCTTCCCATGGGCCTCCGCTGCAACAAAGAACCCACGTCGATCACGATGGGCATCGGGCCGAAGACGCCGCCGACCGGGTCGCACTCCTGCCCCTCCGCGCCCCGCTCGGCCTTGCGCCCCAGGTAGGACCGGAACGCCATCATGTAGTACTGGTTGGGCGAGATCATGCTCACTCCTCCAGGATCAAGCACTTGACCGCCTCCCACGTGTCCTGCGGCGGTTTCAGCTTGCTCCCCGAGGGCATGCCCTTGTTCTCGAAATGCTGCGCTCCTATGACCTCCGCCCGGGGGCAACTGACGGTCCTGCGAACGCGGCCTGAGACCACTTCGCGCGGGCTATCAGCGTGGACTTGCCTTGCCCGGTTCCACAGAGAACGGCGCGTCCGTGGCTGGCAGCGCGATCTCCTGCACCATGGCGGTCTTCCCGCTGCCGCCCTGGCCGAGGAGCCAGAACTGGAGCGTCTCCCACATCGCGCGTCCGGCCATGCTGCCGTCCTTGATCTCCTGCTCCTCACCCCACACCACGTTGCAGGCTCTCCCGAAAGCCGTGATGAACAGGACCTGGAGGGCTTCAGAAGGCGGTCCTCTGGCCTCCCTGTTCTCGGGTTGACCCCGTCGTCGAAAATTGTGACGAGGCGCCGCCGCGGCCGCGGCCGGCGTCGCGCCTGCGCCAGCTGCCCCGACGTCGTCGGGAGCTGGGGCGTCGTCCACGGGCGCGTCTACGTCCTTCGTGCTCCCCTTGGCGAACCTTTTCCGCTGAGTCTCCAGGTTCTTCAGCTCGTCTGCGTCGAGATCGCGCAGGGCCCTGAACGGAGCGAGGACGTCCTCCTTCAGGGCGCGGGCTGCGAACCGCGTCGGCGTCGTTCGGCCCAGGCAGCGCGCCGTTCTCCATCGTCGTGGTGGCCTTGCTCCTTCGCGAAGGCCTGCGCGCGCTCGGCGGTCTCGAATCGCAAGATCTGCCTGAGCGTCTCGGGTCGAAGTGTTGCTTAAGTGCATCGTTGGCTCACAGCTTCGCGAAGCCGCCCTGAGCGCGGATGCCCTGTTCCTCCACCTGCACGGCGCCCGCCCCCGAATCTTCGGCGCCCCCCCGAACGCGGGGGCCTCCGCGACCTGCGCGTCGCCTTTCCGCGGCCCCTTCGGCTTCGAAGCCTTTGCCTTGGAGATGCCGTCGAAATGGCCGCGGACTTCGTGGTCTCCAAGGCCCGGTAATCCTGCGCCGTCAGAACGCTGCCCAACCGGTTGCCCAACTCCGTGCACTTGGCGCACTGGCAAGCGGCGCGGACTCGACCTCCTCCGTGTTCCAGATGCAGAGAGACGCCCACGACCCGGAGTCATTCCTGAGCCACTTCGCCCGGGCCGTCCTTGGCAATTGCTCCTGGGCAATGGCGAACGACTCCCAGCCGCGCTGGAATGGGCCCGAGACGCCCTCCCCCGCCAGCTCCGCTGGCTACTCCGGATCGTCCTCCGGCGCCGCGCGCAGGCTCGCGCGCGCGGGGGTAGCGCAGCTCCTTAGGGAGCCCACAAAGGACGTACGCGCCCAGCTATGTACATGAACACGGCCCCTCGATCCGCGAGACCGGCCGCGTAATACGAACATTTGCGCAATGCGTACTCTCGAAACCAGCATGGATTCATGTACATGTACGTCCTTCTTTCGCTCCTGACTCCTTCGTGTCGCTGGGCCCGCCAGGGTCCGGCAGGTGCACGGGTCGGAGCAGCGGCGACTTCATGAGGTGGTGCGCCTCCGCGCTCGACTCCGCGCTCGCGAACTGGAAGCCGTCCGGCTCCGGGGCGCGCGGCTCGGCGGCCAGCCCCTGAATCCAATTCCGCGCCGCCGAGTGGGACGAATCGAAGGCGATGTCGACGTGCCGGGCACGACCCCCGCTGCCCTCGGGACCCAGCTCCCTGGCCGGGCGGACGTGCATCTGCAATTCCGCGCGGTGCACCAATATGCAATAGATGCACGTGCTCATGTCTCGGACAATAGGGTGGTCCCGCGGTGCATCCAGTCGTCGTGCTGGCTCAGCACTGCGCCCCTGAATCTGCCCTGCGCGAGGCCCTCGACAGTCGGCCCCGGTGCCTCAGCGGCACTTCTTCGGCGACGCCTTCCCGCGTCTTGCTCATCGCCTTCGTCGCGTCGCGCAGCGAGCCGCCGCTGGCGCTCGCGATCTGGAACGCATGGTGCGCGTACTCGATCGCGTCAAACTCCTCGACGTCGGGGCTGACGCGCGCCGCCGCGCCCTCGCGCTGCAGCTGGCGCCGCCCCAGCGTCGCGGCCCGCTGCCCAGTGCTGGGGCCGCGCGCGTGATCGAGGCGGCGAGCGCGCATTCCGCGGCGTCGGCCCGGCCGCGTCGCCTGCGCCGGGACACCGCGGCGAGGTGGGTGGATTTCCGCGCGAACACCATCCAGCAGCGGTGCGCCATGCAGGAGAGGCGCCCGACGAGCATGGGGAAGACTATTTCGCAGCCGCCCTTCCAGGAGGCCCTGCGGAAGCAAGTCTCGAAGCGGGTCAGCACCGGCAGCGCGCGCTTGAAATCCCGCCTGCGCTTCCCTGCGGCGGTCGACTGGGCCTCGTCGCCGGCGTCGCCCTCGGCCTGCGCCCCCCTGTCGCCCCGCTGACTGTTGGGGCGGAGCGCGCCGTCGAGAAGAGTGCAAGGCACGTCGCCCATGCTGGGGCCCCCCTTCGCGACGCGCGAAATCACGCGGCAGCTCGCGTTGTGGGCGCCCACGAAGGTGGCGAGCGCGCGCCGCTCCAGGTCGCGCTGGAGCTTGGCAAGCGCAGCGTCGTCACCGTCCACGGCCAGGCTGTCGCAGATCGCGAGCTCCCTGGAGATCTCAAGCGAGTCGGCGACCGCGACTAGGTCCCACTTCTCCGCGGACGCGGTGTTCAAATGCTGGAACCAGCCCCAATCCTCACATGCGCCCACTGAGAGGTCTGAGTAGCGCTGAGGGTAGAGGCTATGGTTGTAGCTCTTGCGGCCCCCCTCGTTCGCCGGCGGCTCCAGCTCCGACCCTTCCGTCCACGGGCGCGGGGGCAAGACCCGTCGCATGTCCTGCGCGTCCACGGTGCACCGCGCCGAGACGACCGCCGCGCACTTGGTGGAGTCTTTCTGGCACGAAGCTGGAAAGCACCGATGCGCCCGGCCATGCGGCAGTCCGTCTCCCAGCATATGCCGATACAGCCACGCAACACCTTCCCGCGCTTACGGAGCCGGCGCTCTTCTTAGCCCCCCCCCCTTCGGGCCACGTGCGCAATGTCGCCGCGTTGTAGAAAAAGCGGCGGCCGATCTTTGAGCCGAACTTTTTGTCGGAATGGTACTTGTAGCAGGATGGGCTGCAGTGGTGGATGCCGCAACCGATGACGAGCTCGCGCGCGTCGCGGCAATTCTCGCCAATCCGCTCGTCGCTCGGGAGGGGCCCCGCCGGCGCCCCCGCCGCGGCGCCTCGGGGAGATGCCGGAGGCGCTGCTGGAGAGCGGCCGCCGCCAGTGCCCCTTGTTCCCCACAGCCCTACGCCCTGTCCACGCCGCATCGTCGCCCACGGTCTCGCCATCGTAGAGCCAAAACTCCTGCGGCCCCATCTCGCCTTCGACTCCGAACTGTTCTGCAGTCGCCATCTCCGCGCCCCCGTCGGCACTGAAGCGCAGCTTCTCGTTGGGCCCGAACGGGGGCGGCGGCGCCGCGATCCTGCGCTTGTTCTCGCCTCTCATGCAGCTCCACGGCGCTCTGCTGAGTGGCGACGACGGCCTGCGCCGCCTGTGGCATCCACAGGTTCAGGCGTTCCTGGAAGCGCGCCTCGTCGCGCTGCAGCACGTCCAAGAGCACGCGCAGCTGATCCTGCAGCAGCCGGACGAGGATGCGCAGGTGCAGCGAGCCTCCACCCTGAGCCTCGACCAGACCGAGGGCCGCCGCGAGGGGGCCGAACGCCGCGGGCGCGCCCATGAGGTCGGCCGCCATGCCGTTGGTGACCAAGCGAAGCCTTTCGAGCTTCCCCTCGCCGCCGCCCGACGGTCTCAGGCGCAGGCCGAGGGCGCTCGAACGCCACGGCCTGGCCCACGGCGACCGCGGCGATGCGCTGCGACATCTCGCTGAACGTGACTTCCTCCGCCTCGGTCAAGTCGTTGTCGAAGGTGTACTCCTCCTCCTGCACGGTAAGGATCAGGGGCTGCCTGGTGTCTGCCAGATTCGGGGTGACGAAGTGGGACGGCGGGCCAAAACGCTCGTCCTCTCCGCGCAACTCCAGAGTGTCCGTCGGGCCCGACTTGACTGGTAGTGGGCGGGCCCAAAGAAGCGAGGGCCTTGCGCACCTCGTCGCGTGTGCCAATGTCCTTGAGGACGCTTTGCTCTTCCCGCCCGTCTGCTGCGTCCTGAGCTGCGCCTTCTCGATTATCTCCGCGCGGTGTCTGCGCGGGCGCGAGCGGCCCCGAACGCCCCAGCCGTCTTCATGAAAGTGCAGGCGCTGTCGGTCGCCCCCGTGACCTCCAGAATTAAGGAGCACAGCAGGTGCACGCCGTAATAGGAGCTCCGGAAACGACTTATGGGACTTACCACGTACCTCTCATCGTCGGCAGGCACGTCGTACTCCATCCCCTCCCGTGAGAAGAGGTTCTTGATTAAGTGCGTCACGCTGCAGCAGAGCCGACCCTCCACCTGCTTCGGCGGGTCCTCATCTCCGTTCGTGGGGAGCTGGCCGATGCCCCGAGTGCAGTCGCCGTCTAGCAAAAGTCTGTGGGCCTGATTCCACTAGCTCTCCGCCTGCCCCGAAGTGGGCACCCGAAATCTCGCTTTTCGCTGGCCGTCGGAGCCAAGCGGTTCCTGCAAGAAGCGCGGGTCGTCCTTGGCGGGAATCCACGCGACTTCTGCAGGTTTCGCCATGTCGCCCGCGCCCGCCCACGCCTGGCAATTGTTCGTCTCCAACGCCTGGGCGCGCCAGCGCAGCTTGAACGTGTCCTCCCCGTGGGGATCTCCCGACAGCGCGCGCGGAACTCCTGGCAGAGGCCCCGCAGGCGATGGCGCCCGAACTTGTCAGGCTGCAGTGCTCTATCCTCGCCCCTCTGGTCCTCGAGCCTGGACATCCGCGGATTGGTCGCCGCGCGACCCGCCCGACCCTCCATCCTCAAGCATGCCCTGGGGCGTTGGCAGGGGCGCGAGATCGCTGACGTCGTCCGCGTGTTCCTCGAGGACGGACAGTCGCGTGGTCAGCTCTTGCGCGACCTCGCGCTCGTCTCGGCCTGCGCGCCAGCGGTGGCCGAGGCGGGCCCCCGCGCCGGCGCGACGTCGTCCAACGCTTTGCCCGCGGGGACAGACTTCGCGCAGGCCAGCGCGCAGTCAGGCACGCCTGGCTGGGGTGGGATCTGGTTCGCGAGGTCCGTTTGGCACTGCGCGCCCGGGTCATTGTGCACGTAGTTGCGTTGCTTCAACAACCGCGCCTGGGCGTCGTACCCCGCCACGTCGACGTGCAACGCCACCTCCTCCCTCATGACTCTCAGGGCCCTGTCCTCCTTCTGTTCGCCGGTCAGGGGGGTGCCCTCATTGTCGTCGTCGTCGGCGCCTGCGAAGACGGCCACGAACGTGTCCCTGAGCACGTCGGGCTCTGGCGGGAAGCTCCGCGTCGCGTGGAAAGCGCTTCCGTTCCCGAACGTGGCAGCGGTGCCCTGCATGCCGTGCAGCAAGAACTTCTGCCTCCACGACTGCTGCCCCTGCCAGGGCCCCTGCCGCGCGGCCGCGTCGGCGCCCTTGCTGGACAGGTGGATCTTCGCGAACGCGACGCGGCCGAACGCGCGCAGCAACTGGCGCGCGAGAGCGGCCGCCCAGAGCGGCGGCGGGCGGGCGGCGGCCAGCCAGAAGTCTTTCGCCCAAGCCATGAGCGGCAACTTGGGGTGATCAGATCACTGGTCTCTCCAGCAATCGTCGCAACCTTTCACTGGCACCTTTCCTTCGGGCGCCTCTGGCGGCGCGCGCCTCTTGTGCAAGAGTATTTTCGAGGACGTCGGCGAGCCCCCGCAATTATCGCGGGGGAAGTCCACGGCCGACGACGCCAGCTCCACGCGCGGCATGAGGGGCCGACGTCGGTGATGCCGCTGGGGCGACAGGCACTCCGCGCACTGGGCCCGGCCTTTCGTGCACCTGTCCCCGGCGAGAAACTCGGAGTGGAGTTTCTCGGACCGCTGCTGCGCGGCGCAGCATGCGCAGGTCTGGAATGCGCGGGGCTTCCTCGCCTGGCACGCCGCCTGAGCGCAAACCGCCGATGCTGCCGCGTCGGCCGCCTGCCGGCAGACCCTCTCTGCGGGGGGGCCTGCCCGATCTCGCAGGCGATCCTGCCGGCGATCTCCGCGTGGATTCCGAGTCGAGCTTCGGGCCGGCGGCGGCGCGGCGCTGGGGGACGTGGAACCTGTCAGTCAGTCAACTGCAGCGAGGGCGAGGAGAGCCGCCCGACCCCCGGCGATCTCGACTCGACGCCCTTGTCGCCGGCGCCGGGAGCGCCAGCGCTTGGGGCGCGTCCAGGGGGGGTCGGGCGCAAGTCCCGCCGCCCGCCTGCCTGGCGCCTCTCCGACGGCGACGGCGGGCGCGGCTCCAGCTCGCACCGCGCCGCGCGCTGCGCCCGGCGCCGCCGCTGCCCCCCGTCGACCCCTGGCGCGCCATGAACGCCTCCCGGCGGCCGCCTCGCGCGTTCGGCAGGCATGCTGCCAAGCGAGCGCGGGGCACTGGAACCACTCAGAACGATCCAGGAGGCGGCCAGGCATGGCCGAGTTCTGGGGCGGGCCGCGTCTGCAAGGTCTGCGCTGCCACGCCTCGGCCAGGCGCGCCCGCGGCGGGCGCCCGTCGCCCTGCCCGCCCGGCCAGTCGCCCACCGCCAATCGGACCGCGGCCACCGCGGAGCGTGCGCCGCGGACGGAGTTGAGACGCTCGTCCAGGAGCTCCGCGACGCGGCGCATGTGCAACTCCCCGCTCTCCAGCCTACGCTCGGCGTCGAAAATCCCCCCCTCCGTGACCCAAAGCGCCCCCCGCAGCCTGCCAGCAAACTTGTTAGGCCGATCGGGGGCGCGCAGCATCGTCGCCCATCGGTTGGCGCAGTCGTCGCCGGCGTAGACGACGGTTTCAGGGCAATGGTTCAGCAGGTCGCCAGCAGCGGCCAGCAGCTCCAGCAAGTGCAAGAGCAGGAAGAGGTCGCCGCAATCACGGCGCGCCTCGCAGGCCGCCTGCGAGCTCTTGGCCCCCCTGCTGCTGCGCGGGGCAAGCGCGGCGGAGTGGTTCTGGGCGTCCTGCCTGGACACGTCGGCGTTGTTGCCCTTGCTCTTCGGCTTCCGCGCATGCCGGAGCACCTCCACCGGCTTGCAGCCGCGCTCCTGGTCATTTCGGCTCTGCTGCCTCCGAGCGCGGCCTTGGCTCTGCTGCCCCCCCCCCCCCCCCCCAGCGGCTCTGATGCCTCTCCTGCCGCCTCCCAGCGCGGCCCTGCTGCCTCCCCTGCTGCCTCCCAGCGCAGCTCTGCCGCCTCTCCTGCTGCCCCCCGACGCGGCTCTGCAGCCTCTGCTGCTGCCTCCAAGCGCCGCTCTGCCGCCTCTCCTGCTGCCTCCCAGCGCAGCCCTGCTTCCCTCGGAGGCGGGGCCGCTTCTCGGGAGGGGCGTCGCTCTTCGCGGACGCCGCGGCGACTGGCCATCGCCAGCCTCGCAATCCTCCTCGCCCCCCTCCTCTTCCTCGCCCTCTCCATCAAGGCATTGGCCTCGCCGTCCGCGTCGACGTCGCCACCGTCGCCCCGCGCCCGCCGCGCCGTCGACGACAGCCGCTGGCGGCCAGGGGCGCGCCGCGGCGCGCGCCGCCCTGGAGCCCGCCCTCTCGAGAGACAAATCACACGGGGCATATTGTGCTCGGCGCCGGGCGCCCGCGGGGCCACGCGCGGCCGATCGCCCAGGTCGTCCGCAGCGCGCCTGCCCCCATCCTCCTCGAAGTGGGCTTTGCAATGACCTTGGGGGCCAATCAGGAAGGACACTCGGCGGGGCCGAGTCAGACCCCTCGGGCGCGATGCACTGGGCGTAGGCGGCGCGCAACGTCTCCCCCCTGCCTTCAGAACCACCTCCGCGCGCTGCTCGCCCCACTCGGGCGCGACGTCGCAGCCGGCGAGGGAGAGCGCCGAACCGTCGCCTCGCTCCAATCTGCGTGGCGCGCGCGTCGCCAGCGACTCCGGCTTCGCTCGCAGTCGCCCGCCCGCCCATGGAGGCGCCGCGGCGCAACGGCCCTCGCGCGTCAAATTTCTGCGCGCCCCACATCGGAGAGGAATCCGCGGCGACGTGGCGCCGTCGCCCTCGTCTGCCCCGCCCGCGAAAGAAGGGGGCCGCATCGCGACCTCCGCGCCCCATCCGGTCTGGGAGACAAGACGAGGGCCCGGCCCGTCGCCCAGGCTGAACGACAGCGCCTCGCTCGCGCCCGCGCCCCCAGATTGCAGACCGCGCATCGCGAGGAACGCGCCCAAAATGGCGCGAGGGCGCCAGCGGCCCACGCGGGCTGGCGCGGGCACTTCGCCGCCGACGCCCTCCGCGGGCAGCGGCGCCCCGCGCGCAGGCGGTCGCCGAGGCGCGCAGCTCCTCGAGAAGGGGCGCGAAACCAATGCCGACTGCCCCCCGCCCCCCGCCCTGGCGACTCGCCCATCCCCCCCCCCCCCCTGCCGATGGAAGAACCCCGAGGTCCTGCAGCGGCCGTGCTGGAGTGAAGATATCGACGAGATCCCCTCCGCCCCGTGCGCCGCGCGACCAGCGGCTCGCCCTCGCCCCCCTGCCCCGAGAGCGCGGCGCGCGCGGCGGGGCAGCGGGGCAGGCGCTGCAGGGGCGCGTTGACGCAGCAGGTGTTGCACGGGTTCGAGAAGCTCGGGCACGGGCGCCGCCCGCCGCGCGACCGATGCAAAGCTGGCTCCACCAGTCGTCGTCGTGGACGTCGTGACCCTCGCGCCCGCGCTGCTGCCGCTGCGCGCGGCGCCAGCTGTGCGCGCGCAGCGCGGCGATCATCCTGCTTTGCTGCCTCCGACTGCGCCGCCAGCGCTTCGACGCGCATCTTCAGGCCCCGCGCGGCGTCAGCCGCGATGAAGGCCTCCGCCTGCACCACTTCTGCGCGAGCTCATCTTCGAGCCCATCATGGGCGCGCAGCGGCATGCGGCGGCACTGCTCACGCCAGACCAAGATCTCGCGGAATGCCATGGCAATTCGATCCTGTCGGCCTTCCGCTGTCCGGGGAGTCGGCCCGGGGGGCCCTGGGCCGCGCGCATCCGCGGCGCGTCTGTAGAGCCGCCTTCAACGGGGCGCCTGGCGTCGGGGGCGGGCGCGGCGACGCCGTTCACTTCCCAGTCATCCTGCGCCGAGCTTTACCCTCCCGAAAACGCTGCGGCGTCTTCGGGCCAACCCCCTCGACCTGCGCGAGCTCTTGTTTCAGGCGACGGAGCTCCGTGCGCGGATCTGGGGCGCGTTCGATCTGCCCCCGGTCTGCCGCAGTGCCGCGGGGGCCCATGCAAATATAGTCACTTGCTCGATTTCAAGCACACTTGGAACTTCGGGCCCGCGGCGCGTGTCTCTTGGACAATTCTAGCCCTGCGTTGGGCCCTGCTTCCCTTCGGAGGCATCCGCGCGGCGCCCGGCCAGCGCGCGGCGGGGACGCGCCCACGAAAGCCTGAGCCCCGCCGGCTCGGGGCAGTCGTCCCGCGCGGGGTGTCCCGCACACGAGCAGGGGTCGTCCGTCCAGGGGAGCGCCGGGCGCGCGCCAGAGTCCGCACGGACGCCCGCTCGAGCCATTCAAGGCTACGGACGTTTCATCATCTTCGTCGTTCTCGTCGTAATCCGGGGTGGCTTCACAAAATGTCGTCGTCCTCGTCAACGCCCTCGTCCTCGCAGTCGTCACCGCCGTCGTTCCGAATGCGCCTGTGATCGATTTCAAAACGAGGCCAAGGCCAGATGAGCAAAAATCCCGCTGCCGCTAATTCCCCGGAGAGCCCCGCGACGCGCGCAAGGCAGAAAGCGCGGGAGACACAGCGACGCGCACAGGCCCTTGCCAAATCGCAATACACGCATGTTTTGACCGAGGTGGCAACTTGTGACGGTGGTTTTCCACGTGGGTTGCTACGGGCGGGGCGCGCGCATCAGATCTGGACGAATGAATTTGTTGTGCTTTCACACTGGAGGCATCGCCCTCCTCATAGATGCCCCAATATGGGTTCCAATACTCACCATGACAGGCCCGGGGAAAAAAACGCCGCCCTGGACCCCCCCCCCCGCCCCCCCACCCACCGTAACCAAATTTGGTTATGGCCCCCCCCTCCCCCAGCAAGGCCCCTGACGTCGCCGCCCTCGGCCATAACCAAATTTGGTCACGCCCCCCCCCCCCCCCCCCCCCCCACACACTCCTGGAAAGGCCCCGGATCCCCCTACACACCGTGACCAAATCTGGTTATGGTTCCCCTCCCATGGAAAAGCCCCTGACCTCCCCACTCTCCACCGTAAGAACATGTGGTTACGGTCCACACACCCTCCTGGAAAGGTCCTAGGCCCTTCCCATCCGCCCCTCCCCCTCCCCCCACACCGTAACCAAACTTGATTACGGTGCCCCCCCCTCCTGGAAGGCCTCCTGGGGCTCTTCACAAGGATTTACTTCAATGTTGAAATAATATTGAAATCCAACGAAAACATAATCTGATGTGAACGAGTGCTTGTTTTTGCGATACGTTGTATACGACATGAAAATCGAACGGACCTAAACGTCAAACCTCGACCCCCCCTGAGCCTCGGAGGCTCTGGGGTTTTCACGCAAAAGTAACGTTCACTGTGCTTCAATACGCCCCGAGAACTCCAAAACAGGGGTCCCGGGACCTCGAAAACATGGTTCGAGGACCGGTTTTGAACGGATTTCGAGGTCTGGGGTCGTCGTCGTCGTCGTCGTCGTCGTCGTCGTCGTCGTCGTCGTCGCCCCCCCGGGTCGGCGCACTCGGATTTTTCGACTGCCACAAATAACGTTCTCAAAGTTGCAATCGGCTGCGCAACACCCTTGCCAAACAGGACAAAATCTGACCCTCGTATACAGCATCGCAAGCGCGGGGCAGAGTCGCCCCGACCAGCGCTGGTCGTCCCGCGGTCCCCCCCCGCCCCTGACCTCGCGGCCCCCCGCCGTAAGCAAATTTGGTCACGCTCTCCCCACCCCCCAGAAACAGCGCGGAACCCCGCACACACCGAAACCATATTTGGTTATGGTGCCCCCTGCCCCAAGAAAGGCCCTTGACTTCCCCGCTCCCCACTGTAACCAAATTTGGTTACGCCCCCCCCCCCTCTGGACAGGCCCCGGACCCTTCCGTAGCCTTCGATGGAGCTCCCTATGGGGCCACGAACCGTGTGAGGGGTGCGCCGAGATGAGAAAAGAACTGCATGCGAACCCTGCCACTGGGGCCTCTGGTGGAGCCCCTATGGGGCCACGAACTGCGTGAGGGGTGCGCCGAAATGCATACGAACTGTGCCACTAAGGTCTTCGGTGCAGCTCCCTATGGGGCCACGAACCGTGCGAGGGGTGCGCCGACATGAAGGCGCAACTGCATGCGAACCCTGCCACATGACGTTTTTTTCCCCCCCGAGTAACGGCCGTTACCCGGGGGGAAAGGAGTGTCGGGCGGGAGGGCAACGGTAACGGCGGCCGCGGCGTGCGCCCGCCAGGGTGCGTCCGCGCCACTGGCGCATCAATCGCATGTGCACGCGACAGTGCCCAATGCCTGCGTGCAACACAGCGGCACCTGTGTACACATCACAGTGCCTCCGTACATCACAACAGACGCGTGCACTGCAACACCACGTCGCCCATGCACACCGCAGTGCTTGTATACTACAGCAGCGGGTGTTTAGAATAGGATTCTAAAGACAACCATGGTTTGAAAGGGGATGATTTTAAGAAGCCCCCATGGAAACTTGATTACTCGAAAACCCCCCGAGAATTCTACACGCGTGCACTACAACGCCTGCGTACACCACAGCGCCTGCGTACACCACAACAGCCGAGTGAACACACAGCGTCGGTGTACACCACAGCGCTTGCGTGCACCACAGCGCTTGCGTATACCACAACGTCTGTGTACACTGCAGCAGCCGTGTGCCACGCAGCGCCGGTGTGCACCACGCTGCCTGCGTGAACCACGGCGCCTGCGCACACCACAGCGCCCGCGGGAGAATGCGTGGGGCCGCCCAGTCTTCATCTTCTCCATGGCGCTGGGTCTACAATCGAGACGTGCATTAAGGACGGGTGGTAAGGACGCAAGACCCTTGGACGCCGAAGTTAAGATTTGTTTTGCAAGCTGGCCACTGAAAGCGGTACAGGACAGGCGGCAGAGGCAAGGAAACAAGGGTGGCCCGGAGAATGCGCGCGTCCTTATTAGGCGCGCTGACTGCATCGCACTGTAACCGAGCACCGGCCAGAAGGTAGAGAGAAAACCACTGCATACTGCATACTGTCTTGCTGAACAATGGACGAACCAGCCTGCGGTAGCTGAGCCATCGCCAGCTGCATTGGACGACGACGACGTCGACGACGAGGACGAGGACGAGGACGACGACTACGACGATGGACGACGACGACGACGACGACGACGACTGCGAGCGCTACAACACATTTGTGAGCATCACCGCGTGCCGTTCAGACCACGTCATGCCTGTAAGCACAACACCATATCTGCGGAGTGTCCGCTCCCAGCATGTAGGGGGGCCAGGCCTCCCCTCCCCCAAGGCACGATCGTTAGCGTTACCCGGGGGGGGAGGGTTGGCCCAGGTAACGAGCGTTATGCCCGAGAGGAAAAAAACAACGCTGACCAATGGGGCCTTCGGTGGAGCTCCCTATGGGGCCACGAACCGTGTGAGAGGGGCACAGAAGTGGGAGCGGAACTGCATGCGAACACTGCCGCTCGAGCCTTCGGTGGAGCTCCCTATGGGGCCACGAACAGTGTGAGGGGTGCGCCGAAATGAAGGTGGAACTGCATGCGAACCCTGCCTGTGGAGCATTCGATGGAGCTCCCTATGGGGCCATGAACTGTGTGAGGGGTGCGCCGAGATGATGGTGGAACTGCATGCGAACCCTGCCACTGAGGCATTCGGTGGAGGGCCATGAACCGTGTGAGGGGTGCGCCGAAATGAGGGTGGAATTGCATGCAAACACTGCCACTGGGGCATTCGGTGGAGCTCCCTACGGGGCTACGAACCGTGTGAGGGGTGCGCCGAAATGAGGGTGGAACTGCATGCGAACCCTGCCTTTGGGGCCTTCGATGGAGCTCCCTATGAGGCCACGAACCGAGTGAAAGGTGCGCCGAAATGAGGGTGGAACTGCATGCGACCCGTGCCACTGAGGTCTTCGGTGCAGCTCCCTATGGGGCCATGAACCGTGTGAGGGGTGCGCCGAGATGAGAAAAGAACTGCATGCGAACCCTGCCACTGGGACCTCTGGTGGAGCCCCTTATGGGGCCACGAACCGTGTGTGGGGTGCGCCGAAATGAAGGTGGAACTGCATGCGAACCCTGCCGCTGGGGCCTCCGGTGGAGCCCCCTATGGGGCCACGAACCGTATGATGGGTGCGCCGAGATGATGGTGGAACTGCATGCGAACACTGCTACTGGGGCCTTCGATGGAACCCCCTTATGGTGCCACGAACCGTGTGAGGGCGTGCAGGAATGGGCGGGGAACGATGACGATGATGGTGATGATGGCGGCCGTAATGGTGATGACGATGGTGATTACGATGACGGTGACGGGTGTGATGATCATGATGGTGATTATGTCATGATGATGAGATGATTGCGATGGTGATGATGGTGTGATGATGGTGATGGTGATAGTAATGGTGATGGTAATGATACTCATGATGATAATGATGATGATACTGATGATGATGCTAACAATAATAATGATACTGATGCTGATGATGATGTTGATGATGATGTTGATATTGCTGTTGATGATGACAGTGATGGTGATGCTGATGGTGATGGTGATGGTGAAGGTGATGATGATGATGATGATGCTGATGATGATGATGATGATGATGATGATGATGATGATGATGATGATGATGATGATGATGATGATGATGATGATGGGACGAGGGAGGAGGGCAAGGAGGAACGAGAGGAGAGGTGGACGCGGAACACTGTCTCTAAAACGAAACGAAAACCCAACATCACGGGATGATTGGGAACGAACCGTGTGAGGGGTGTGCCGAAATGGGTGCGGTGGCGCCATGCGAACCCCGCCGCTGGGACCTTCTGCGGAACTCCCTATGGGGCCACGAGACGTGTGAGGGGTGCGCCGACATGGGTACGGTGGCGCCATGCGAACCCTGCCACTGGGGCCTTCTGCGGAGCTCCTTATGGGCCACGAACCGTGTGGGGTGTGTGCCGAAATTGGTGCGGTGGCCATGCGAAACTTGCCACTGGAGCCTTCTGCGGAGCTCCCTATCGGGCCACCCTCGGACGACGCTCCCTATCGGGCCACCCTCGGACGACGATGATGATGATGACGGCACGGGAGGAGGGAGGAGGGGAATGATGATGATGGTGATGCTGACGGTGGGAGATAGGGGGAGGGAGGAGCGGGACGAGGGGGAGGAAGAGATGAGAGGAGAGGAGCGGAGAGGCGAGGAATGAGACGCGGTGCGCTGTCTCTTCAAAACGAGGACCCAACACCACAGGATGGTTGGGAAATAATCAAAAATTGCCCCTTGACTATTTTTTACCTTTTTTATAGTTCTCCTGCAGAGGGACGTGCCCGACTTAACGAAAGAGATGATCTAGTGAAAGGGGGGTGCCCCTAACCCCCCCGTTTCTTCCGACCCAAGTGTGGCCGTTGAGCAATTTGTGCCGTCGGTGAGCCCCCTGTCGCTCCCACTGCGTGCGCGCTCGTTGGCAATTGGGGCGCGCGCCGCGCTTACGCGCGACCTGCAAACAAGTCGACGTAATCATGCTTTTTCGCTCGAGATATTGTTTTTGAAAGGCGCACGGTCTCTTACAAGACTCACAACGGAGAAACATGGTCTACTCGACACGGACAACTCTGTTTACTGCTAGGGCACGGACGACTCGGACATAAAACCACCCTGAGCACATCCACGATGAAAAGGCACTGATCGAGAGGCTATCTTACATATATAACGTCTGGCCGCCCATCAGACCGAACGTTCGGTCGCCGCCGGACGCACAAGGAGAACTGTTGGGGCGCAGCTTAGCCGCGCCTCGCGAAGCCAGAACGGCTGAATTCGCGAAGGGCACAGATTGAGTCTCCGCCTCCCCCCTCTGCGGGCGCGACTCCGCAGACAAAACGCTGGGCCCAGAGGGCAGCGGGCCCAAGCGCTGGCGTGGCGCTAGGCACCGCGCCGCGCTCACAGCCTCGCCGCTGGCATGAGCGGCATGTACGTGCCCTGCACCAGGTTGTCCTGCGGCAGCGGGACGACGTGGTCGGCCAGGTTCCTTGTAATGACGTGGTTGGGCGTGATGCTCGGGATGCTCGGGGTGCCACTGAGGCGCATCACCATCTGCAGCTCGTCCTGCAGCATGTGCACCATGCGCACGATGCCCTTCTCGCCGTAGGAAGCGAGGGAATAGAGCACGGGGCGGCCGACGCCGCAGGCGGCCGCGCCGAGGGCCACGGCCTTGAAGATGTCCGCGCCCCGCCGGATGCCTCCGTCGATGAAGACGGTGAAGTCCTCCTTCTTGTAGCCCGCCGCCTGCAGGGCCTCCATGACCTCGGGCAGCACCTCGATCCCGGAGCGGCAGGTGTCCAGCTGCCTGCCGCCGTGGTTCGAGAGCACGCACCCGGCGAGGCCAGCCTTGTACGCCTGCACGGCGTCCTCGCCGCACTGCACGCCTTTGAGGAGGACCTTCATCTTGGTGATGGACTGCAGCCAGGGCACGTCCTCCCAATTGAGGCTGGGGTCAATGAAGCTGCTGATAGCCCGGGTGGCGCCCTGCGAGCGGTCCACCTCGCCCTCGGCCTCGTCGTCCCCCTGCACGTCGGAGCCCTGCTGGGTGAACTTGTTGCGCATGTCCTTCTCGCGCCGCCCGAGCTGTGGCGCGTCCACGGTGACGAAGAGGGCGCGGACGCCGTTCTTCTCGAGTTTCTCCACATACTCTTGCGTCCGGGAGCGCTCCGGGTTCACGTACAGCTGCGAGAAGAGCTCCTGGCCGGGCGCGCGCGCGTCCAACATTTCGTCCAAAGTGTAGGAGCTGAGGGTGGGCAGCATGTACGGGACGCCCGCTTTCTTGGCGGCCTTCACGATGGCCACCTCGCCGTCCTGGTGGGCCAGCTTCGCGAGGGCGGTGGCGGTGAAGTACAGCGGCAGCGAGGACGACACGCCCAGGAAACTGGTGGTAAGGTCGATCTCCGAAACGTTCACGAGGATGCGCGGCCGCATCGTGACGCGCTGGAAAGCCATGTGGTTGTCGCGGAGGGTGATCTCGTCATCACCGCCGCTGGAGTAGTAGCCCCAGGCCTGCGACTCCATGACCTCCCGGGCGACCGACTCGAAGTCGAACGTGTTCAACATCGCGGCGAGGGGCGGCTTTACGAACTCCACTATCTGCGCCTCGCCGTCCGCGACCGCTGGCGCCGCCGTCTTCGGGGCGGGGGCCGCCTTCTCTGGCGGCTTCGCCTTGTGCTCCTCCCGGATGGTGGCCGGGTCCACGACGCCCATGGTTAGGGCGGGCTTCAGCAGCTTCTGCATAATATCCTTCGGGTGAATGGGGTCGAACACGGCGGTCGCATCCTTCCCAGCGCAGTCGAAGATCAGCTTCGCCCCCCCGGGGTGCACCTTGGCGAACTTTCCCAGATCGTAGGCTGTGCCGTAGAGCACCACCCAGCAGTCCTCCTTTGTGTTGTGTTTGGCCACCTCGTCCATGGACAGCGTCACGGTGCTCTCCGCAGCGGCCATCGCGAAAAACCTCCTTGGGCCGCGAACGAATCGTGTACAGACCGCCTCAAATGAGAGACACCTTGAGCCAAACAAGTCGACGCAATCGTCCACGCGGTCGTACAGTCAAGATTGATAGTAAAGGTGCACGATCAAGTCCTTCGTACGCCCATGTTTTCGAGCGGGTCTGGTCATCGAAAGGAGTCATGGACAAATCGCGGAGGCAAGGATGCAAGGGTACCTTTGGGACGGTTAACCATCCTGCGGACGCGGCCACAAAAGACATCGCAAGAGACCCCCACCCCTAAACGACCGCTCGCGAGACGCAGCAAGGCAGAAACCCAGAGAACCCTGGACGCATCAGCTTCTTTAGCGGTCGCGGGAAGTCAACGAACAACGTGCGGAACGACGAAAACAGGACAGAAAACATATGGTTTCGATGTTGGACTGCGATGGCAGCCGATTTGCCCGTGGGCGTTGCGGTGCAAGGGTCGATTCGGAAGTAACCCCTTGGAGGTCTTCGTAATCTCGATTAACGGCCCCTACGCCCGAGAAGATAAAACAGTAAACCCGATTAAACCATATTAAGCGGGTGGTTGAGCCGAACCAACTGGAAGTAAGCCTGACGAAACGGGATTCTTCAAGATTAGGTCATTGGTCGCCCACGGATATACCAGCGCCGATACTGAAATAAAGCTCTCTGGGGTTGCACCCTAAGATAAGAAAGGGCGCGGCCGATGTACCCATGACGCCAAGCGCGCATCTATCATCTGGTCGCCTCGCAGATTCACGCTGAAACACACCGTGACGCACTCAACGCATCCCGGGCGTGCCTGATGAAACTCTAAACCTTGGGCGTTGCTTATCCGTCGATCGGAAACAACTGAATGGAAAGATGAAGCAGGACGGCATTGGACATGTGTTGGGTTCCCGCCCGCCCCCTAAGAGGACGGAGAAGGTGAAACCTTTCGGTCATTGAAATAGGAAGGCTCCTAGAATATAATGAAATTTGCGAATCCTAATTTCAACGACCGGCGTGCAATGGGGGGGCCATGAACGGGGTCTACGGAATGCGACGACGACGACAACTTCCACAGCAGCTTCACATCAGGTTTCCCGACATGGTGGTTCCACGGCTCTTCGGCCCTGGCATAAGATCGCCATCTGGCGGGTGCTCAAACGACGCAGCCTGCCAAACTCGACAACATTCACCATTCACCACCTTCTCACCCACCTCACCTCCATTGACCGCGGCGCCGACATCATGGAAACATGCGGTGGTGACGCGCGGACTCGCAGACTCGCCGTCCGCCGCCGAATGGAAGCTGGAAAGACCTGGCTCGCCAATGGATGGGAAGCCAAGGGAATATGGGACTGGATCCACGGGGTCAATGCCGCAGTCGTCGTCGCGGTCCTTTACGACCGGCTTGCGTGCTTTGGGCACGCGGCCCTCCTGTATATTTGCTTTCTGGCGCATGCGCCCTGCCATAGGACAGGCGTCGTAGCCGTGCTCTTGTAGCTTTAGCGATGTGCGCCGTCCCCTCTTGAAGACCCAGGCGGGGCGACCTGCCCCTGCTGTCCGCTTTTGCCTGGGCAGGTCGGGTGGGGCAGCCTCGTGGACTGGTGCTGGGGCACCTCCTTGGAGCATTCGGCAACGCAGTTGCCGCCAGACCCTGGGGATGCCGAGCAGACTCCCTGCCTCTGGATAGGATCGTAGCCGACGCGCGTCATGCCGGTCTGGCCGAAGCCTTTAGATCCACGGAAGGCCGGAGGAAGGTTGGGATCGACGACGATCTGGGCATCGTCGATGATACGCTCCAGTATAAACTGGGCGTTTCGCTGGCCTCTCTCAACCACGACTGTCCGCGGACTGCTGTCGCGCATGATCAACGCGATCTCGCCGCGGTAATCGGGGGTCAAAACGCCGCCCAAGAAGTCGATGCCATAGAGGGCAAGTCCTGAGCCCTAGGCAATCGTCAAGCAAAAGAACGGCGGCGCAATAGCTGCCACGCCCGCATACCCCAGCTCGCGACAATAGGTCGCGAGACTGACGTCCGCGCTGGCGCGCAGGCCGAAGACTGCCGCCTGTGGCGCGCCCCGCGTAGGTGCTTGCGCGCTGGAGCCCAGAAGCTGGATCTTGGGCTTCCTGAACTCTCGCGGCCGTCGTTGGCGTCGTCGCCCTGGTCGTCGTTGCCCACTGCCAACAATTCTAACTGCTTGAGCGGCAGCCCCCCGGAGGGCGGCTGAAATCGGTCAATGTTGCCGACTGGCATGCGCAAGCGGCGGCCACTCGGCGCCGATTTCAACTGGAAAAGATGGTGCCAGGACCCGGCGTGATCTCGCAACCGCCAGGCCCATGAAAAATCGGGTGCTCGCGCGCTGCGCCGGTTTCCGCCGCCCCGCCCCGTCGTTGGACTGCGTGAATTGGAAACCGAGAAGGGCGGGGAAATCGAAGCCTGCGAACTCCGCGGCCGGGGCGCGCCTGGCGCATTGCGTGGTCGCGCCGATGCGGGCGGCGTGCCTCCCAGCGCGCGACCCGCGATCCGTCGCCGACTCCTGCCGCGTATAGTGGGTCGACAGCTTCTCCTCCGCGGGCGCGGGCCTCGCCTCCTGGGCCACGTCGGTTAGGTTCCTTGGGCGCCCAGAGGTCGGGCCAAGCGCTGGCGTCGACGACGGCGCCTAATCGGTTGCCTACGAGGCTTGCCAAGAAGTCGCGCCCTTTACCATTGAAAGTCTCTAGGAGCCCCTTCATGAATGACATGATTTATGGTTTCGGCAGCCCGATGGACAGCCCGGCGCCCCGCCAACGAAAAGGGAATGAAATATTCCCCCCCCGCTGCGCCCGCCGACAACGCCCGCGGGAAATCTTGGCTCAGACACTTGGCGCGAGGAAGCTCGATCCTGACGGTTCCATCCAGAAAAGGACTGTTCATGCTCAGGCCTTGCGCGGGCCCTTAAACAATCCGTCCTCTGTCGCTTGGGCAATGCAAAGCTATGGCGAGAACTGCGCTGCCCGCGCAGGGAACAACTTCGCGCGGGGCGCGCGCGCCGAACAGGCGGCGGTAAGAGTTCTGCCAGCTGTGTCAGGCAGACAACATCGAACAAACTCGCGGAGCAAAACGAAGCAACTCCTAGTGCAATCCCCTATGAAAAAGCATTCAACTCCCCCCGCGCGCACGGTAGCCCGCAGCCCACGCAACAATGATAGAACTCTAATCCCACGGCGCCGCGTGCGCCGACCAGGCGCCAGCGGGAGCTACGCCTGCAGTGCTAGGGCAATACTGTGAGCAAACTCGCAAACCAAAGAGAAACAGCTCTGATTTGAACCCCCATGAGAAGATGCCCACCAATCCCCCCGCGCGCGAGGCAACCCGCAATGGATCATTCCACGGGGGAGATCGCCCACAAATATTATCCAGCCCGCCCAACAACACAGGGGAACTAATCCCACGTCGCCGCGCGCGCCGACCAGGCGCCAGCAAGAGTTTTACCAGCGGTGCTAAGCAGGCGCGTTCGGGCCAACTCGTAGATCAAGACGAAACGCATTTGCATTAACATTCTCATGCGCAGAAGCTCGCAACTCCCCACGCGCGCAGGGTAACCCTCAATGGAATACTCCGTTGAAGATTCTCTCCAAGCATTACCATGCCCGCCCAACATTGCAATGGAACTAATCCCGCGTCGCCGCGCGTGCCGACCTGGCGCCCGCAGGAGTTCTGCCAGCAGTGCTCGCCAAACGAGCTTGAGCAAATAACTCCGCATTCAAACGAAGCAAGTCCAAGTGCGAGCCTCGTGCGAAGATGCCCGCATATCCAATCGCGCGCAGGGCAGCTCAGAATGGGCGATTCCGCTGAAGAAATGATCCCCAAACATTACCCAGCCCGCCCAACAGTAGAAGGGAAAAGAATATCCGCCGTGACGACGAGGTTTGGGCCAGTTCATTCGCCGCCGAGAGATCAGGGGGGGGTCAAAACTGAAGACCCTTGGAAGATGCCCGATGATGTGGTCCACCGCGGGAGCGTCGGCCAGCACGGAGGCGCGTGCCAGCCCAGGTGGGCGCCGTAGGGCACTGCTGCATCTGCGGCGGACGCGCAGCTAGACGCGCTGCCTGGTGTCTGCAGGAGGTCCTGCCGCGATGTCCTGGGTGCTGGTGGGGCTGGGAGCGCTGCGCGATGTCACGTTGCGGCGGCGCCCCCCCGGGCGCGTCGCCCCCCTTTGCCGAGAGCGCCGGCGCCATGGGCGCTGGGCCCGTCGAATCATGATCCGCCGCGCGGGCCGACGACAGTCGTCGGGCCCGCCGTAGCGCGCTCTGCACCTATGAATCGGAAGTCGGCGATGACGTCGGCTGGGCCGCGGCGCGCCCGGCAATGCACCGCGCGGGAGTCGCCGTTTTGCACGAGCTGCAAATGGCGCCATGGGCGCAGGGTGCGACGGCATTGAAGGCGCACCGCCCGGTCGCCATGCACGAAGGCGCCTCGAGACAAATATGACAGTCCCGGTCGTCGCCGCCGAACGCGCCGATGGGGGGGGCAGCGGGCGCGGCGGCCGGCGCAAGATGTGGATTCGCGCGGCCCCCTGTTCAGCTCAGCGCGGCTTCGCGTCGCTGCTCGCCCTATTATCGCAAGAAACTTGGCGCCAATTGGCTGCGCGCCCGGGAGCTCGACGAGGCGCCGTCGTTGCGCGCGGTCGAAAGCGGCGCGCGCGCTGCGTTGGGGCCGGCCGCCGCTCGACATCCAAGTGTCGAGGCCGGCAGGCCGCCCTCCCACATGGCAGGCTTGCGCCGACGGGGGCCTTCTGATGAAATCGGGCCAAGTCACGGGGGTGTCCTATACTGGCGGCCCGCTGCTGCTGGCGCGGACTGCGGCGGCCGCGCGGAGCTCGATCCACGCGGCGCCCTGGCGCCGCGGGCCGCGGGCCGAGACAGATGGCGCGCGGGCCCAGCTCGCCCAGCTGGGCAACTGCGCGTCGGCGCGCAGGGCTATAAGCGCGGCGGCTCGGGCGCCGACGTCGCTTACCCAGTCTCGCCCGCTATCTTGCAATGCCGGGATGGCGCCATCTGCTCTGGCCAAGCGCGGCGCTGCCGGTGGCGGTGGTGCTGCTGATGATGCCGCTGGGTCTGTGGGTGCTTCAGGCGCGGCGGATGCAGCATTCCACGCTCC